AGGAGAAGACGACTTCATATCCGACAGACCGTTGTGGGGGGACTTATTGTCATGCGTTTTGGATCGGCTCAGTCTTGCAAGTTGCGATGTTGAGAGACAAAGAAAAAGAGAAGAAAGGTGGAAATTGATCGCCAGGGAAACAAGTTTAGCAATCATTCCAGACAACGGAGAGACATCAGCAGCAGGATAATCAATAAGCAGTATGGCAGTCGATGTGCCTCCCATGCAGATAGCAGACACAGAGGAGGTACTGCTTGCGGATATCTTCAATGCTAACACTATGGAGAGAGATTAGTGTGATGTTGGATTCGAAGACGCCGATTTGGCAAGTTGTCTTGCAATATACACAGACAATGAAGATATAGAAGAAGATGAAGAAGAGGATGAGGAGGCATCGTCTTCTGACGTGGAGGTGAGCGGCAGCGATGTCAGCAGCGACGAGGCAGACGAGGAAGATGATGTTTACTATGATTTGAAGGGGGCGGGTGGACAAATGTCAAAAGGTTGGGCACATGCAGTTCTGAGGTTGACACGTGCTTTCCCCGATCTGCACAATGTGCTGCGTGTTGTGATGAAGGAGGCAACACCTGACGGTGCTCTACAGTATGCCGTAGTCACCACTATAATGCAAGCATGCAACAAGGGAAAAAAGTGGTCACATGTTGGCAAGGGTTGGTTTGTTCTGGTGAATAGAGAGGTTGTGCTAGCAACGTCACTGACGTGGGGAATCAACCTCAGTTGCCTCATACACGGCGCAATGGCGACAACTTGCGGAGAGACATTGAACTTTGTCGTTCTGGCCCGCACTAGTGAACCACTCTCTCTCTCTCTCTCTCTCTCTCTCTCTCTCTCTCGTATGCCTAGTTGTAGCTATAGTACAACCTGTACATCCGTCTACAGGTTTTGTGTCATGCTGCCTGTTGTTTGCCTCTCCAAGCACATGCGGTTCACAACAACGTTCCGACATTGGGTGCAACTTTATTTCAATCATTTGATGATTGTTACAATGTATGTCATAATTTGTTGCCTTCTGTAGCACGTGAGACACATTACACCCCCTATGATGACCAATGTGTGTATGTTGTGTTTTTTATTATTATTATTTTTTTTGCTTTCTTTGTGATGTCAATTCAAATTTTGCAGGTTGTGAAATGTTTTGGCAATGGATGCGGAGGTCGACTGAGGTGCTGGTGTGCAATAATTTTGATGCAGACGCAGAAAACACATACCACATTCACAAACGTTATGGATGGATAGTTGTAAACTTAACCAGCCGCACAAACGTGGTGATGAATGTCATGTCACATATCATGTACCTTGTGCAAGTCGTTGCCTTTTCCAACAGGACCATGAAACCTGTCGTGGCATATACATTATCGTGTCACACGTCTGACTGCTAATCTTTGTCAATCGGGATCAGTGACAAAGACAGTCAGTTCCCAAAACGACATTCAAGACTCCATCGTTCTCTGTCTCACACACAGAAGAGGAAGGGCAACACTTACAGAATATAACAAAATATATTGTGCAACTTATAATTCGAACGACCTCAACCAATGTAAAAAATGCTAATCAAAGCACTGTCCGCACCGTTCTGTTTGTCTTTGGAATGGACTGCATGCGCAGAAAATGGACAGTGGTCCACAGGTATGCGACTGTGTCAGGTCTTTCATGTCCTTACAAACTTTGAATTCACATCGTGCGAGGGCATGCCCGGCTGTGGTGGACGAAAGAGCACAAGGGCAGGAGATGGGTGTTGTTGACGCCTGCGGGCCATCAAACATAGGTGCAGTGAATCTCGTGAGCGATGAGAGCGAGGACATCGGAGCCCCCGAGAACGCAGACGGGGAGGGCGGGTCATTCGCAGAGCAGCAACCGCCGCCTGTCGAGTCTTTTGACAACTCTCGCAAGCTTGAGGCACTAATTTTCTCTGCCAGGGGCGGCGTCGGTATGTCGCAGAGTGACATAGATGCTCTCTTGTCACTTCTCAAAGACCCGAGATTCAACACGACAGACATTGTGTACTGTAATAGTCGAGAGTGTTTGACATGGGCAGGCAGTCTAGCAGAGGCTGCGGGATTGAAGGAGTCGGATCTCCGTAACGCCGACTGGCCACGAGATGCGCACGCCATCTTGTGGCACCGCGATTGGCGAACCACATTTCTCTCGATTTTTAATATCGCATTACAGAAATGCGAGACGGTGTCTTCTCTAGAGGTGTCCCCGCCGTCAGAGGACCTCAGTAAATCTGGTCCGCGCGCGCAGCGGGGCGCTATGTTATCACATCCAGTCGATCATTCGAGCAGACAAAGGTGTGGACGGGAATGGAAATCTATGTTATGTTATCCCTCTGTCGCTCTATTCTGACAAGACACGCACGGACGGTCGTCAAAAACAGACGGCGTACCCTCTGATGATGTCCCTAGCCGACCACGCATCCGAAGCCACACTGCTGGCCTATCTTCCTGTGCTTCATCATCGTCCACGTGACAAAGGATGGGGTCAACAGTCCACCGCATTCAGAAAGCGAAAGACCGTCATTTTGCACAAGACCCTTACAGTGGTGTTGCAGTCTGCGAAGGAGGCATCTCATGACGGAATAATGGTACCGACAACGCGATTCGGGGACATAACTGTCCACCCTTTGATGTCCTAGAACGATATACAGGATTACCCATAATGATGTGCGCTTGCGACTGTGAAGTTTGGCGTATGCCCGACATGCACCGTGTCCAAAGCTGACTTTGATGTCCTAGCCGATTTCACGGACTGCAGGAGATCACAGACGCTCGAAACACACCTCACAGCAGCTGTGTTCACATCCGACGACATCGACGTGCGACGTGCAGCGGAAGGACGAATGTCAGAGTTGAACATGCATTGGCATGTTCAAAAGAACGGCCTTTGGGGGTTCTACAAGGGCCCCAATAGTGACGACGCTCAGCTAGACTACCACCCGGCATTGCAGCCAGACCGTATGCACACAATCGAGCATGGCATATTCCTGCACATGATTGACGCATTCAGGACGGTAGCGTTTGACAAGTTGCCGAACATACCACAAACAGAGATCCTCAAGGAACTAGATGCCAGGTTGCAGAGCGTTAGTGAGAGATGCACGCGAACATACCCCCAACTTGTGCTGCCGGTGGCCACAAGCAGCGATTTTTTTTTGAGGGAGGGTCGGTTCGAGGCGAAGCAAAACTGGTCTGTGATGACAGTGTGCGTGTTCCTTATTTGTAATATTGTCCCGCGCTCGACAGGCAAGGGCATCACCCTTTGTTTTGTGAAACTGATGGAAATGTATGTACGAGTATTTCGGTGCACAACACATATTCGTGCTTCGCTCGATGAATGCGACGCTTTGATCACGGACTTCATTACGACCATCAAAGCGAAATTGGGGAGATATCAACCATCATAATGGAAACTCCCCAAGTTGCACGATCTGATGCATCTGAGAATGTGTATTGAGCGATCCGGTGTTCCTAACACCTTCGCAACAGACGTTTGGGAGCATCACAACAGGAAATTCTGCAAACAGCCATACCTGTCATCAAACAAGCGGAAAACTTCAACCCAGATGGTGAACCACGTACGTCGGTCGTTGGCGTTGCAAGAAGAGACCGGGATCGTGAGGAAACAAAGGAAGAGAATGGTTGAGAACCGATCGTTTGTGACAGACTGCATGGCCACGGGAATGAATACCCTCGCACTACGCGATACGGCAATCCTGCAACTGCGGTGGTTCGACATCGATGACGAGCACATACGGGAGGGAGAAGGCATTGACAACCGTGCGTGTAAGATACTCGAAGAGCTTCCTTTCAGACGYGATTTTCGAGCAGCGCTTACGACCTACATGGTGGAGAATGGTTGTCAACCTCCTTCTGATGACCTGCTTATACACACACGAACACACCTGGCCATCGCCTGTATACAGGACGGATTAAACAGGGGCACACTTGTTCAAACTGCAAGAGCGTCGCCATAGTTTCATGGGAGACCAGTGCACAGTGACGTCGCAATTAGAGCAGAGAACGAATGCACATGGTTTGCATCAGTGGCCATGTTTTTTGTCGTGGCCGCACCGACGAACAACGAAATTATGGAACACAGCTGCGGATTTGTGCAATGGTACAAGGAGGTCGACAATAAACGGCAACACGTGACAAGATGCAAGAAATTGAAATGGGAGAAGTTGAATGGGCATCAACACAGCAGCGTCGTATCAACCGACACTATTGTAGACGTCGTTCACATTGTTCCACGCTTCTGTAAACCACAATGGGGATCGAAGCAGCATGCAATACACCGTGAGGACTGGACATTTGTCTCTTTCTTTTTGTCATTTTTAGAGAAATATCATGTCAAGCGTGGCCGAGTTTATGAAGCGGTGAAAACCCCATGTGAAACAACCGTGTCCCCAAAAGTTCACTATTGCGTGACATTTACGTGGTCAACAATGACATTCCTTTCACTTTTGGCACGCAGTAGCCAACCTCTCTCTCTCTCTCTCTCTCTCTCTCTCTCTCTCTCCAAACTATCCTGTAAAAACGATTCGATTTCTTGCTAAAAAACTTAGCAATTCGCCATTGTCATTCCTTGTTGACCAACACGTGTGAACAGAAATAGAAACTTACGACGTCGCACAACAAGGGGGACGGGGCAATACAAAATACAGAATAACAGGGTGCAGGTAAGAGACAGCGAGCAAGGATGGCAGGTGAGAGAAGACAGAGCAACTTATCGAAAACCTTGAATTGTCGTCGAGGCCGTGAGACGACAATGCGAGGAAAGTTCACTACTGCGGGCATTTGTTACATAAAGACCGGTGGCTTGACCAGGTGATTGCCCCGCAGTAGCCAAGCTTCTCCCGGTGATGGACGGGGGCATTTCCCAATTAGTTTTTTTTGCTTGAAGTATATATATATTTTTTCCCTTCAGTACGCGAACCCAAGCCGCCTGACAAAACAGATACAATCATTTTGGTGCTGAAAGAGGTTGGTAACTTGCATGACATCGCAATTTTAGAAATAAGATCTTGGTTCCGCCTCTCTCTCTCTCTCTCTCTCTCTCTCTCTCTCTCTCAATGCGGCCCCCCGACACTTTAGAGAGGCATGGATCGACACACAACATTGCTGACGCAGTTGTTGTTCTTTTTCCACTTTCATGTATGTGGGGAAAACAGGGCAATGACTCCAAGGCCAAAATACCAGGATCTGTGCAGGTCTTTGAAGGCCGCAGGAAAGAAGGACAAGGAGAGGAAGAAATCCAAGGCCGAAAAGAAAAAAAATTCGAGAGAGCATCGCAGAAGCGGATCTGAGAATGCGAAAACGGAATGCACCAGCAGGTGAGAGCACGGATCAAAAGTTTCAGTCCCATCAAGTCAATGCGTTCTTTCAAAGTTGAAAGAACGCAATGAGTCCCCCCCTTCGACTCCCGCCCCACGGAGCCGTGCAGCGGTGCCGAGAACCGTCTGCCCAGGGCCCCCGAGAAGAGGTCGCGAGAAGATCAAATCACAAAGGTGCACCGCACCACAAAGAAGAGAATCTCCTACAAAAAGGACACAACGGTGGACATGATCGATCTGAGAGGGTCGGACAATATGCACAGCGGAGCCCGAAAGGAAGCAGAGGAGGAACACGACCACCCCTTATCGGAAAAGTCCGACAGGGAGGATGACAACGCATCAAGGGACGAGGTCGACGACAGTGAGACCTCCCACGGACATCCTCGCGACAGTGACGAGGCTGACGACGACGACGGCGGGAGTGACGACGGCACCGCGCACGAAGAGAGTGACGATGGGTCAACCCAAGACGACAGAAGCGCATCTAGAAGAGCGAGTTTCCCGTCCCCATCCGGAACACAACGCACGAGGGCCCCCGGGAGGAACACAACGCACGAGGGCAGCGCTGCCGACACGCCTTTCATTGGCAGACAAATAGTGAGGCACGCTAATACTGTTGGAAAAGGTAAACAAAGTGCGCTAAAGTTGCCGCCATTGCAAAATGATTATATTCGGACTCGCAAAGTTCAGGCACATTGCTGAAGCAAGGATTTGACTTTGATGAACATGCGGTTGAAATGGACTGCTGAATGTCGCTAGTGCTAAAATGTATCTGGACTGTCGAGTTCTAAAATTTTGTTATGTGCGCTGTGATGTCTGTCTCCCAGCAGATGACACGAACTCGCAAGCAAAAGTGTGCGCGAATAGTGAAGGACAACGTCAAGTGAATGAAGAGTCCGGCGCATTCACAAAGAGAATGAGGGGCAGACTGTTTCGCTCGGTCACGAAAGCCTTTGCGTTCTCCGCAGCAAAGGACGCAACTCTGTACCCTACAGAGGATGCATTTTTCACATCGCTGCAAACCACGACCAAACTGGTGGGGGAGATTGCGGAGGAAGGACTGCGCTCACACGTAGCGTCCTGCGGATTCGAGCAGTCATAGGGGAGTGCAACAGAATGATGACGATCGTGCGTGGGGAAATAACATGGCAACTGAAACATTGGTTTTGGGCTGAAAAAGGGATCCCGCTTGCGCGGTCGCAGCAAACAGATCACCAGCTCCCCACTCACAACAAGATGCGAGCAGAGATGAAGGAAAATAAAACGTGGAGACGGAGCGGCGATGATCCTTGGGGCGCCCTTGCCTTCAAGACGACACTCACCAAGGTTTTTTAGATGAGGAGGGACGACGTCAACCTTGGAGTGGCTTTTGCGGAGATGGTTATGCAATGCGAAATGGAGCAGACAACAAAGACCACCAAAGCAGCGGAGCAGATTGAAAAATTGTTTTCTATAAAGCAAGACATCGTATCATCTCTTCGTAGCCGCGATACAGTCATGAGTTTTTCGATCTTCAAGCTGGATCGTGCCGTATCTGTAGCTGAGAAGGCTGCTGCGTTGTTTCGAGCTAGTGTGTCGTCTGTCCACAGAAGTGGGCCTCATACCACCACAATAACGGATGATGATTTCGACCTCGAGTTTATTGCACCTCAGCGTGAGAGAAGCAGAGACGAGGAGAGGGATACAGAAGGTCTGTGCGCCAGACCTTGAACAGCGGGGGACGGGTGCCGTAGTAGTGTGCATCAGAGGTTGATTTTGGAATCTTTGAATCAGAAGGTTCATTACCCAACGTCGCAGTCATTGCATGCTTGTGAGAGAGAGCAGGATAGTTCGGCGAGAGTTCGAAGAGAGAGAGAGAGAGAGAGAGAGAGAGAGAGAGAGAGAGAGAGAGAGAGAGAGGGGGGGAAATGAAGACACTGAACTGTGTGCTTCGAACAGTCACTTAACAAGACATGGTCTATTATTTATGACACACAAATAAACAATGCCTTCTAATGATCATCTTTGTGTATTTGGTCCTTTAGCGACTATGTTATGAAAAAAAAACAGCAACCGTGGTTGTCCTCAATGCAAGGTTGGGTTGTGCATGCCATTATCTCTCTCATGCTCACATGTTGCTAGAATTGTGTCACGCAGTGGTGAGCCGTGTTTGTTGCAGGGAAGGTCACGATTTAACTCAGGCTTCCACACGTGTGGCCACATATAGAATGAAGCAACAACAATCCTGCGGACTCAAAAGGAAGGTTGACTACTGCGTGCCACTCTCTCTCAAACACAGCCATATCGGTAATTTTTATGCCCGCAATAGTGAACCGAGCTTCTAGTCTGGCAGCTCAGCACGTAATCGACGCTACCTTACACAGATATCACCAGAATGAAATACCGCCATCTGGCACCAACAGCAAAGAGAGGTTCACTACTGCATGACTCTTTCTCTCAAACACAGCCATGTGGGTGATTTCGTGTCACGCAGTAGTGAACCTCTCTCTCTCTCTCTCTCTCTCTCTCTCTCTCTTTCTCTCTCTCTCTCTCTCTCATTTCAGTCATTGCTTTTGTTGCATGCGAGGTCCGCCAGAAGACCCAACACATGACATTTGCGAAATTGCACAGCGAATCGTCCACAAGAGAAAAGGACGGGAACAAACCACGAAAACCCACGACATAAGCACTGCGAAACAAATTTCCCCCCCCCATACAAAACGCGGACCATACAGGAAAGGTGAAACATTTTCAGCACGTTTCAACAAGCTTTCAACACAGTTCAACAAGTTTTCAACAAGTTTCAACATGTTTTCAACACGTTTCAACAAACTCTCAACAACTTTTCAACAACTTTTCAACAAATTTTCAACAAATGTTCAACAGTTGGACCAACATCATTTCAATAGTTGGACCAACAGATGAACACACCAGTTTCAGTTTTTCCAATATTTGGTCAGCGTTGGTTTCCTTGACTTTTGGTAGAACACATGACCCTCTCCCCGCCAAACAGTTTATAAACACAGTTCCAACAGTTGAAATATGGTATCCACATATGTTCATCAAGGCCAAAAATTTGCCACAATTTTTCTGTTGGTAGAATTATATTTTCGAACTCTGATTTACTTTCGAATCCTCTGAATGTTTATTTCTTTAATTAATACTCGTCTTCTTATTGATTTATTTATCTCTTCCTTTAATTCATATGTTTTTCACATATTTTTTGCGATGACTTATGTGACACAAATAAGATGCACAAGTATAGAGGGAATCAACCTCTTGATTAGTTGATAGAAATCTAACAAAAAAACTATATACTACTACGCTTTTCTATGAAATCTTTGTACAACTAACATGGTCATACATCACGTCCCTGCAAACCTTTTAAACACAAAAGTACCCTAATGGGAAACACACATACACACTCAGGCATACGTGCACTTCGGTAGACACGGAGAATCTCGCAAACCCACTCAAACTTAAACTTAGAAACCTCAAGAAAAGACCAGGACTCATAGCAGACACACATTCCACATAAAAACTCAGAAAATGAACGAGTATTTTCAATCTCATAATTTGTAGGTCATTCCCCTACGACCTTAACGTTATATTGAATATGTTCCCTCATTGTATTTCATTTCATTTTGGTCTCTACTCAACGAAACAAGACTTATGAGATTACTACGATTGAATCTTTTTGTTTTCAATCTGGGTGTTTGAAATAATTTTAATTAAGTTAGTATTTGACCTTGATTTTGACCAACCACAAGTATAGACGGGCTCGGAAGGAACGAAGAAGGTTGAGGGGAAGACAAAAAGTTGACAGAGGAGAGAGAGGGATCTATCTGCCACAAATGACTGATGCTAGAGCAGTTGTTGGTAGTGTTGAAAAAAATACATTGTTGTTACAAATCACCGTGGTCACTTACTACTGTTTGATCAAGGTAACTGCGATCACTGCAGTAAATTGAAGTTGTTGATGGTTGTTGTTACTTGTTATTGTGGGATGCTATTATGTCTGCAACTATAACTATTTGTTATTGTTACCATTAGTCAGTGTTATAGATTGTCATTGAGTTGTTAAAAGCTGCCAATACCACAACTGTAACTATAGCTGATTGCAGCGGACACGAATACTCGCTGCAGATGGTGTTTTGGTTGCCTATTAATGATAAAATTTATGTCATAATATGTTGATAAGAGATATTGTAATTATTGACGGAGGAAATGATTACAACTGATGGAGCTGCTAATCACTGTTACTTGACTGTTGTAGTTGCAATCATTGCTGCTATCACTAACAATCACCATTGACTAAAAAAATGAATATGGTAAAAAATATGCTGTTCCTATCTAACTCACATGTATTTTAGAAGAAAAAAATTGTAAAGAAGGAGAGTCAACAGAAAAATTTTCCAAAATGAAATAATCATTCTATAGTAAAATTACATTCAAAATTCAAATTTTTCATTCCATCTTTAAAAATATCATTCCAATTTTATTTTTTTTGTCTTACTTGAAAACTTTCATTCCAAGAATGAGGTTTCCCTTCTTATTTGAACTGCATGCTAGAGATGGAATGAAAGTCTGGATGAGTTCATGAAATATTTTAATTGAATTGTTGTTCTATGTAAGGATTTTCAGTCATAAATGGGTTAATCCAATCTAAATTAGAGGGTATTTGTTATAGTAGAATGAAAGTTTAATTAAGACATTTCATAAACTCATCCAGACTTCCATTTCATCTTGAACAAATAGATGTAGTTGGAAGAGAAAACTCATATTTAGACGGGAACTTATCAAATAAAACTAAAAATTTTAGAAATGGACGAACATTGGAATGATAATTTATAAATATGAAGGATTTTTTTTGAATGGAATAATTTTTCAACTTTCATTTCTCGTGGGAATTTTTCTGTTGGTGGCGATGAAGTTTTGAAAATGCAAAGAAAAGAGAAAATTCAAAAAGAGAAAACTTTAGTAAAAACCAAGTTATTTTTATTTACTTTATTATTCACCCCGTTCTTCTCCTTTGCTACAAGTGAATGATAACAGTTTCACTTACCAATTAGAAAATGACCCCTCTCATATTTTGTGAAGCCATCCACTTCTTTAAGCTCTTTTGAATTGAGAAGTGATTTTGAAACCGACTTTTTATGGGACTAAGGTGGAATACGTTTTGATTTTAACTAAACAAAAGGTAGACCAATGACAAATGAACAAACTACCTTACAAGTTGCGCATTTATTTTAAAAACCAAGTACACCTAATTGAGTGCACGTTCAAGTGAACTAGACTTACATGTGACAAACTTATCATGCTGATTATGTAACCTTGCAAGCCAACTGTAAGTTACCCAACAAGTCTTGGAGGAGGTTGACTTACTTTTTCTATCCATCCCTATACACTAAAGCATTGCTAAATATGTGTATGCCTATCGTAAATGTTAAATGAAAAATCATTTAGACATATAATGGGAGAGGTACAAAAATTTTGTAAGATGAGGTTGGGGGACTCGAGTAGCATATATGTTGCTTGGCTGGTATTCGGCGTGTGGACTACGTGACCTATATAACTTTTGGTGGACTACCTCTCCATTATTCATATCACCCCTCGTGATAGGTAAAAACCTTTGAAAATGAGGTATGATCATGAATGACATTCCTATACATGCTAATTAGATAATAAGAGCCTTTGTAATCTACATGGATATTATTATATGTTCTTTTACTAATAAATTTTGCCCTTAGTATTTTACTCAAAAAACGCTCAGTAAAATTTGTCCTTACATTTTAATCTGACAACATCTCTGACATCAAAATCCTTATGTTACAAAGCCATGACCAAACATTTAAAAATACATTATTTATTGCGAAGCCCTGCTAAAAGTTTTGGATGAACTTTGGAGGTTAGGGAATTGCGGGGTACGCATACTAATCTTTTTCCCATACAAGTAATCCAATAACATTGAACTGCCACGTACTTACATTCAATTTCTTTCTCTATACAATTATTCAAAAAATAAGACAGTTGTGAGAGTTCTGCAGAAGTTTACGAGAAACTCTAGAGGCAAGGAACTGAAAGGTACGCATACTCTAACCTAACATGTATACATCTAAGAGTTACAACCTTCTACACGACTGCATGTGTGTAGCGGACCCACCAGGTGTGGTGCTCCGCGAGTGATAGAGATGGAGATGGAGGAAGAAGGGGGGAGCGAGACGGCACAAGGCAGCTCCCCACGCAAGAATCCAACGCACGTACTCCAAAATGTGCAAGTGAAGAATGAGGACGAAAACAGACAACTGCTGGGGTATACCCCAGCGGACTGACGGGACTGGACTGGACTGGCTGGTACCGACAGAGGTACCGGCCTGGACTGGACAAGACTGCCCCCGAATAGAACACAGGCCTGTGAGAACAGGCCAAGGGGCTGGTCTCACAGGCTAACCAGAGGTCCGCTACACGATCCTCGGCCTATGATGGATCGCCTAGATGCAAACACGCTTCCGCCAAGAAGCGGAACTCTACCAAACAAAATGAAAACCTGAGTAGTCTAGGATGCGGAGCAAGCTCCATGCTGAGTCCATGCGATGCAACCTAGGATAGAAAATGTCACAAAACAACAATGTCACAGCTAACAGCCTAAGTGAAAGCAAAAATAACTAACTAGCATACATGTCCTAGGAAAGCAAAAGCAACTAACTAGCATACATGTCCTAGGAAAGCAGAAAGTAGTGACAACTAGATCCTGGAATGTTGGAGGCAGTAGCCTCAGTCTGGGAACAACTGACTAGTGTATAAGTCCTAAGAACAGCAAAAGCAGAACAACAAAATCCTAGAAATGTAAGAGGCAGTAGCCTCATTCTGAGAGCAACAAAGCAACAACAATTCAACCATATGTCACAGGAGAAGTGTGTCGCAAACCAAAGGGTGGGATGGTCCCTAAGGGTAGCGAATGTAGCCTAGGGGTCGAAAACTCCTAAGGGCATCCACACATAGTGACAGGGGGAAACACATGTCATCAGGCTCAATGAGGGTAGGGAACTGGGAGCGAACAGAACCAATGACCCTAACAGATAGACCATCAGGGCGGGTAATGCTCGACTAAGGGGTGACTGCTATGGAGGGTCGACCATGCAAGGGAACAAGGGAGCCTGGTATACTG